GTTTGGCTCTAACTTGTGAGCTGTAATCCTCCTGCAGGTGGGCATTGCCCTGAAGCCCTTCCTGCCTCAGCTGCAGACGACCTTCCTGAAGGCCCTGCAGGACTCGAGCCGCGGGGTGAGGCTGAAGGCTGCTGAGGCTCTGGGCCAACTGGTTTCCATCCACACCAAGGTGGACCCACTCTTCACCGAGCAGCTCGCCGCCATCCGCAACGCCGAGGACTCAGGAGTCCGGTGAGCAATCACACGGGCCGAAACCTAAAACGACTTTAATTAGGTTGCTCTGTCAACTGTCCTGTAACCAACTGTCCTTGGAAAGGGAATAATTTAGCTATTAATATACCAGAGCCCATACAAATCTAAAGAGTGGGTCTAGTATTTATGAAAATAGAACATTTAGAAAGTCTTGTTGTGTGAATGAGGCATCGTTGACTCATGGAAATGTCGACCTGCCTGTATTCTGCCATGTAAAATTACAGTTCTCTCCAAAGCCTAAACTACATTGACAAAAAGAAAATATACATATATACATACACTTAGCTAACTTTCAATTATTTCCGAACTTAGCAGAGTTAACGTTGACTTAACTCACCCTAGCATTCACATTATTCAGAACGAAGAAGTTATTTTCTTAAATTGGTAATCTATGTCACTGAGTGAGCATTTCTGTTTGAAGAACTCAATGGAACACGGATGGACTCATACGGCAACATTAATGATGCTTGTTGTTTTGTGACGCTCACAAGGTCCAAAGATATATATATATATATATATATATATATATATATAACTTCAAGCTGTGACTTATTATGATACAATGTCACTTAAGATGGTGACTAATGGAATAGATTTCCAATAATTGACAAAGACTTAAGAGAAACCGGACAAGAGTACCATAGCATAAAGATCAGCGGGGCTGATATGTTGAAGATGGTGACAAAGGCACCTCAGAGAGAAGCACGCCACAAAAACGACCCTTAACTGCCCTAATCATTTGATATTTAACACCGAATGTTCCTCACCAGAGGCCAATACCATTGAAAGATATGAACTTAATATTTTTAAAATGCCAAATCGATCTTTTTGCCTGTTTAAAAGTGTTTGAAAACCATTGAAAGCTTGTCCACCTGTTAATTTTTGAATTGTACCATTGAGTTCATATATTTTGTCTCAGCTCTTTAATAACCATATTTATGGGATAAAAAATATATAAAATTATTTTGTGTTTATTGTTTGTGCTAGAAATGTGTGTAATATATGTATTAGCCAATAAACTCAAAATATGGTTTTGTTACAAACCCTTTAATATCCATATTGGCATTTGATTAAGCCAGGCTTTGTTTACAACACAGGAAAAGTAACTATAAACTTGGAAGTTGATCAAATCAAATTTCCTTTTTAGGGTTCAGTGGTATAGATTATTTTTTTGTTTGTTTTAAGATATTCGTTTGCAAAAGCTCGTTCTCATGCTGGCGTTTTGCTCTTTACCTCCCTGACAGGGAGACTATGCTCCAAGCGTTGAGGTTTGTCATCCAGGGGGCCGGGTCGAAGGTGGACCCAGCCATCCGCAAGAACATCACCACCACATTACTGGGCATGCTGGGACACGACGAGGTAGGGCGGGAGGAGCAGATGTAGAGAAGATTTAATTTGTTTAATCTGGCAACACGCCTGTTTGTTTTTTTCCACCCTGGGGCTCGTAAACGCTACTGTCTACGTGATGTAACTACATATGAATAATAAAGATAAACATATGAGCACTTAGAAAGGATTTGACTGTCTGTTGTTCCGTGGTGCAGTTTGTTCCGTCATCACACTAGAAAACGGAAGTCTAGCAGAGAGGATGTGGCTTTCTGAAAAGGTGGTTTTGAGCCTCTGTGGGAGTTTGAAGATGAACGGCACTCAACCAGTGTGTTTGTGTGCACGTAGGATGCAACGCGCTTGGCGTCGGCCGGCTGTGTCGGTGAGCTGTGTGCCTTCCTGTCTGAAGAGGAGCTGAGGAGTGTGTTGCTTCAGCACGTCTTGGGTTGGTATTTCCGTGCAAAGTTATCACGACATCCGCGTCACATGTGTATGAAGTCGGTTATTCATATTTGAATCTGCCCCTAAATACTGTTTGCTACAACAACGGACTTGCTGTGCCAACTGTAATAATAATAGGGATTTAGTGAATGAGTGTTTTGCTTAGTTTTAGCACAAATAGTGTTTTTCATTGGCCTTTTTATAATGTGTTTACAGTATTTGTTTCATAGAATTTTGTCGTGGCCTGTTTGTTTCTGCTGCTCCCCCTGCACCAGCAGAGCAGTGAGAGCACGAGCTAATAGATGTTGTTCCCCCCCCACCCCCCTCAGCGGACGTGTCTGGCGTCGACTGGATGGTGCGTCACGGTCGCAGCCTGGCCATGGCCATAGCTGTCAAGTGCGCTCCTGAGAAGCTGTGTGGGAAGGAGTACTGTGACACGGTGACGGAGACTGTTTTGACAAACGCCACCGCTGACAGGGTGAGTCGAATGTTTGTGTGACTCTGTTAGGCACCAAGATTTTTCTCGTGTCTCTCATGAACTGATTTGCAATAAATAGCCTGTGTGAGTCCTGCTTCACATGGTAGAATATTACATTATTGCCCACAGTCTTCTTTCTAAAACACAACTTTAAATGTGTACAGCGCACAGTGTAAAACATTCAGGAACAGGCCCCGTGCTGTTACATTATAAGTCCATTCCTGTTGCTCTCGGCACGTACCGTGATTCTGTTTGATGTTTTTTTCCCCCAAGATTCCCATTGCCACCAGTGGGATCAGAGCGATGGGATACCTGATGAGGCATCATCTCAGAACAGAGGGAGGCAGCAGTGTTTCCCAGCGCATCATCACACAGTTTGTCAAGGTAAAGCAACTGTTTAACAGGCTGTTTACTTTTTTCCCTATTTGGACTATTGAATTACTTACTACAGTTCTTCACTATATTGGTTCTGACTTTTTGCAAATTATGCAGTGTTAAAAACACATTTCAATTGTAGTCATTTGGGGTAAAATTGCTACATATTCATAAATATGTATTCCTTTTAATGGTCACGGGGGAGCTGGTGCCTTCCCTGCACATGCTCTCTTTGTGGGAAAAAAATAAAAGAAACCTGCAGTAATGATTATTATTTAAACTAATGTTTCAAGCGACTCATGTACAATGTGGCCAACCGATGGACTCTGCCGTCCCTCTCAGGCCTTTTGGAATGTCTTTCCTTCAGGATTTAGTTTCAGCATTATGGCCCCACATTTTACAGTGCTCGTTACTCGTGGTGTCACTCTGACAAGTTAACCTCAAAGGCCTTTTCCACCCGTACAGCATACGACAACCAATCCGTAGGTGGTCAGTTTGAATAAGGGTTAAAAAATAAAACTTCAGCAGAAGAGGAAGGTCTTAATGAAAGCTGATATCGGATAAGAAATTATTAAAGATGCAGAAAAATATATATACTGGGACGAGTACCTGCTGCAACAGTCTGTTTTGTTGTTCCGTGTTGCCACGCAGTGTCTTCAGAATCAGTCCAGCGACATCCGACTGGTGTCGGAGCGGGTGCTGTGGTGGGTGTTCAAAGAACCCGCCACCCCCTCCATGGAGCCCAATCTGATCAAGCCCCTGCTAAAGAGTCTGCTGGACAACACCAAGGACAAGAACACCAGCGTGCGGGCTCAGAGCGAACACACCATCGCCAACCTGCTACGACTCCGACAGGGAGAGGAGACCATGCAGGTCGGGCCTCAGACCGCCCGCGGTCCTTTGCAGACGTAGACCATTTATAAAGGAGAGAAGTCGGTTTCTAATGCGTTGTCCTTTCTACGTTTCAGAGTGTTACTGCCATTCTGGACTCCGCGAGTAACGACCTGCTGTCAGAATGTCACCGTCGGTCCCTGAAGAAAATCGCCAGCTCGCCAGACTCAAATGAAGAGATAGACGACACCATCCTAACGTGATGGTGCAGGACTGACCTGTGAAACAATCCCTGCCCTGCAGAGGCCCACTGTACAACCCCACACACACTCTCACCACGCATGCCCATGTTGCCTTTCACGAAAACAAGGCGGAGATGGGTCGTGTTTTCACACAAAATTCCCCCCCTTTTCTCTTTTGTCATTGTTTTAGCGACCTGTGTGCCCAATTTATAACTTTTTTTTATTTTATCTAACAACGTGCAGGTAATTCACCAGTACTGAACTACATTAGGAAGACATGATGCCAATCCTGTTTTGATTTTTCAATGTTTTCCTACTTATTTTTACCAAAAAGCTTCAGGAATTTAAGATGCTGTGGTAATGAAACAACCCTCCCTGACTTTTATTTGGGTTTTGTGTGTGAGAGTTGTTTGGGGGGAAGCAACCTCTTATAAGAATAAAAAAAGCATTCTTATATCAGTGACAACGGTTGTAAAAAAAGCAATTCAAAATAAAAAAGATCTTGATTTCATAATGTAGTCTGTGAAATATCATAAAATGGTCTTTAAGGTTGGGTCAGACGTCACAGACTTCATCACACCTTAGTCATTCCACATATTTCTCCACCTAAAAAAAGGGAAGTTAAATTGTTGGTGCCTTCTGGGAATATGCAGACAAACCAAATTTGTACGCCGGAGAAATAGGTTGTAACTAACAGCTCTGCAATCTGAAGCATTCAGACATTGTGTTGACTGCTCTAAAGGCCTTATCACTAAGACTCCAATAACTTAAGCAAAAATGATTTGCTTTATTCTATGTTCATGTCAACCATTTCTACGAGGTGTCATAAATCCATACGCCTTTATTGAGGAATTTCCTCATTCTGTGATCCTCTGTGTTTTATGTTGTCTAGATTACTTCTAAATAATAATTTTTAAAACAAAAAGAAATCCAGCCATTTACCGGCTCCTGCTTCGCAGATGTTAATCAACAGAACCGCGCCGGCCCTTCTAGTGGTGCGAGGCCGGTGTTCATCAACGCGATGGGACGGCAGCGCCTCGCCAGGAGCCTGCGCAGTGAGGCCGGGTGACAGTTGGGTGCAGCTCCACCAGAGAAGGAAGCGGAGTTTCCGGCTGTTTGCAGCGGAGGGAGAGGATTGCTGACGCCGCGAAACCCCGAGAAACACGCCGGCGGCTCGGGGGGGGGGTTGGTGGGTGGCTAGCAGTTGAACATCGGCAGTGGTGGTTTTCTTTCGTATCTGAGGGGCTGGTGATACACGGCAATATATTTGGAATTTTTTTTTTACGAGCCGAGGGGGTCGGACGGCAAACGGAGCAAAGCGGCACAAGGCGGGGGTGAGCCACCAGCTACCGGCATGGCCAGGGACTACGACTACCTCTTCAAGCTGCTCATCATCGGTGACAGCGGTAAGACGACGCCGAGGATGCGGGACGGGAAGTGGGCCCTGTCTGGTTCTATATATATTTTTTTCTCCTCTAAGGAGAGGAGGAGACATTCGTTTGGAGGGACGCGGGGGTCCTCCACGACGCTTTGGGAGACGCGTTATTTTATATTGTCTGCATTTAAATGGTGGTGGTTTTGTACACATCCGCCGTATTTCTCCGGCGCTGACAGGGCGGAGGTACGGGGCACGTCAGGCGATCGGGCCGGATATCGCCTCCAGATCTTCAGGGTTTGTCTCTCGAAGATTTGCGTGTTTTCTCGTATCGGCGGGGGCATTTATTTTACCTCTGCAACACGACACTCACTGTAACCCAAATACCCGTGACTGCTTTCCCACGCGCCTCTATTTTGGCCTCTATTTTGTATCCACATTAGCTGTTTTAAGCTAGTTGGAAGTTGGGCTAACGTTACACTTTCCGGCTTGGCTGTGGAGCTCACTGTTCTCTTTTCAGTCCAGCTGACGTTCACTATTCCCGCGAGAAGCTATGGTGCTCGAACGTACAACACAGGTAGTCTTGTATTTGCTAACGCTGGGTGAGGTTGTTAATGAAATGCTGTTTGTTATTTAGCTAGCTGGCTAGCTTAAGCTAGCACGAGTGTGTTAGCCGCTTGATAGTGGAGGAATGCTGCACTGCAGCCTCCAGTTTGCAACCCGCCGGTCAAAGTAAAACCGGGTGAAGTGACACCACAAAGTGGCTGCAGTTTCAATTAGGAGAGACGATACCTCCGAGGTTCAAAGACCACTGCCTTTGTGGTTACGTCACCTCTGCTAATCTGCTCCCTCACGTCAAAATACAAGGCGAATGCCACAGGTAGATGCACACTGTCAATCCCGCTCCCGATTTAAAGTGATGTGCAGCGCTTCTTTGTGGTCAATGGTCTTTGCATTCATTGACAAGCCGGATCCTGGCACTACCCCATCAGCTGGCCGCTCACTGTGGAGGGAAAAGGCATCACAGAAATCCCTTCACTGCCACTCTCACACAGAGGCCAGTGTCCCCTCAGCTGCAGCGTGGACGCACAAGTGTCTGTAGTGATTAAGGTTATTTAGGAAAGATTCTCTCTGACCTCCAGCCCTCCTCCCCGGCCTCATGAGGTCTTATCTCTGGCCGAGAATCCCAATATTCCTCACACCAGATCTCCGTCCTCGGGCCACAGCGGTTGCAAGATGAATCTGCTCACCGAGCAACTTGACTCACGTTGTGAAACGTGAAAACTTACGGCAGGATTGAATATTACAGCTTATAACTTACAAAACGGTCTCCGTGCGCTGCTGCTCCATTCAGCGCGGAGACCACAGCAACCTGAGATCTTTTAGGAAGGGAGCAAACATGAAATGCTATTAACACAATAGGGAGGCTTCGTAACGGGACAGTAGGACGAGTCGCACCTCAGGCTGAGCAGCCGTCCCGTCCACGACTTTTGACTTTATTTCTTTATTCTCTTATTATTGTGCATGATAATTTTAGGATCCAAGCAGGATGTACTGACACAAAGTCTTCAACCGCTGCTGCTTGCTCCTCTGTTTGATCGGTGAAGCTTCTGTAGGCGGAAGCGCCATCGAAACGCCTTAAACAAATGTGTTTGTTTTGCCTTTCACCTTTTACCGCAACAACAGCTGTTATTGTATATTTTGGTGGAGTAAATGTTTAGTTGTCCAATGATTCCAGCGATGGTTGATGTTTTGGTTTGCAGAACCAAGATGTTTACTCTAAACCTCGTGCCGTGCTTGTGTTTCCTCCTCAGGAGTGGGGAAGAGCAGTCTCCTCCTGCGATTCGCAGACAACACTTTCTCAGGTGCGTGGTTCTGCCGCAGCCCATGTGTGGCATCATTTCAAGATCAGCGGTGGTTGTAGGTCATCGGGTCGATTCGTGTGTTGTGCTGTGCGTGTCTGCAGGTAGCTACATCACCACTATCGGCGTGGACTTCAAGATCCGGACGGTGGAGATCAACGGAGAGAAGGTGAAGCTACAGATCTGGGACACCGCAGGGCAGGAGCGCTTCCGCACCATCACCTCCACGTGAGTGACGCCGCACGCACACATCCACAGGGACTTTGTTAGGCGCAGCCAGATTCTTTTAATTTCAGCAATTTTAAATCTAGCAAAATGAGACCGGATCTTTGCGGTCATTGGATTAAGGTTTTATTTGAGGAAGCAGTTTGAAAGCAACTAGACTGAGTGTGTGTGGTGTGAAACTGGGTGGAATTCCCCCCACGTCTCCTGCCGTAGTGCTACGTGGCCGCGAGGGCGGGGCGCCGTAACCCAGCATGTGGCTCCGGGTCGACACTAATGCATGAAAGGAGGGCCGTACCGGATCGAAGTTAAACCCATATTGTTGTTGTGCTCATGCCCCTTGAGCTCTTGTGACAGTACAACTCAAACACAGATCTGCTCACTACTTCTGAATGGAAACACTTTCAACTTTAACAGCTTTAAAAAAAAAAGAGAAAAAAAGCGCTGCATCTTTGGTCTCGAGCCCTGCGGCTAACAGCCCTGCACCAATGAATAGCACTGGATTAATAGGCAGGATGAAGTAGTAGTTGAATCCTTTAGAACAATTGATTTATTTGTGTATTTTTTTCATGCGAACATAACTTTGAAGTTACATTGCAACAGAAGTTAGTAGTTAGTAAGTAAGTAATAAAAGCATCTGCGTGGTCTCTTGTGAATTCGAAACAACACAACACACTATTTCTCCTAATATGGTATTTTAAAACTTTTAATCTAAATTTAACTCTGCATCAACACATTTTTTTTTTCACAACTTGGCGGCAGCAGAGACAAATATTTTTAGCTGCTAAATTCTCCACTATATTCACCAGCTTGACACTAACCGTTACAGTTTGGTGCCGAGCAGGTAGAGAACAGTTGTTTGTGAAAACGCCGGTGAGAGTGAATGAAAGCAGTGGGGTCGCACGCCTTAAAAACCAAACCTTGAGGCTAAAGACGCCGTCCGCAGGGCTGAGAAGAATAGTTCCAGTTGGGATTCAGCTTCTCTTACTGGATCGCATCCTGTTTGTGTGGAGTTTTACTGCAGGTTGGGCCCCACACGCCTGCTGTGTGTGCTAGTTTATGGTTCTGTAGTCACACACACACACACACACAAGCGGCTCCATCGCTGCTGTCTGATTGATCATTACTGCTGGACATTTGGGGGGGAGAGAGAGACAACACTGTACCACCCCCCGCCCCCTCACAAACGCACTGTCCCACCAGGCAGAAACACTGACCCACACAGTAGTTCTGACAAAGGGGTCTTTGTGTGTTTGGCGAGTGCAGCTGTAACTTTCTGATTGCCTGCAGGTTTTCATATGAAACATCCACCGTGTGCCTCTGGAAGCGCTGAGACTTGCCGCGCGAGCTAACGTCAAACGCTGCCTGTGTCTCTCTCTGCATGTTCAGATACTACAGGGGGACGCATGGCGTCATTGTGGTCTACGACGTCACGAGTGCGGAGTCCTTCGTCAACGTCAAACGATGGCTACACGAAATCAACCAGAACTGTGACGACGTGTGCCGAATATTAGGTCAGTGTGCACATTTTGGTTCTTCTTTTTTTCTAAAAATGCACCTCCAGTATAGCTCTTTGTTTTTCATTCTTCATTTGCATGTGTTGTATAATTGTTTCCAACTCCTGTTACATCACCGTGGCAATGTTTTCTCTTTTCAGTGGGAAACAAAAACGACGACCCCAACTCCAAGGTGGTCGAGACGACCGACGCGCAGAAGTTCGCCGAGCAGATGGGAATCAACCTGTTTGAGACGAGCGCCAAAGAGAACATCAACGTTGAAGAGGTAGCTCACCGTTTGTTGGTCCGCTGGCCGACGCCGCGTCCCTCGCGCCCCGGCATGCAGAACAGCTCAGCTGAGGACACGAGTCAGCAAGAATGTCTCAATGCTCCGCATGTCCCGCTGGTCCGTGTGGCGTGTTGTACAGACGGCTCCCTAACGCACGGGTCCCCGACCACCGGGCCGGTCCCGGTACATGGACCACACGCTGCTAAATGACCGGGTTCTCTCCCATTAAACGCACTTGTCCCTCTTGACAAAATTCACCCAAGCGGGTTTATTTGATCAATAAATCCAGCAAACTCCTACAAAATGGACCTTTTGAACAAACAAGTAATAATAAGCAGATTTGATTTTGATTCTTTTTACACCTTTTTGGAAGGAGCTGTTTTCACCGTTAGCTTCAGTCCTTATCGTAAGCTAAGCTAACTAGCCTGACTTGAGCTTCATATTGAGGGGACAAGTGGCATTGAGCTCAGTAGGGCCTCAATCAATGTTCTTAGTTGACTAACACACACAATTTTGGAAAAACAAATCGATTAGTTTATTTAATCGCAGGATCTGTAAAACTAAGTAAATCGTGTGTTCACCAGAGGGGATGACGAGGTTATTATAAATACGTTATTCAACGTGAAAAAGCATTAAAAATTCAATTAGAAAAGTCTTAGTGGACAAAATCTACCAAGCTCTAATAATAATTCCTATTATTAATAAGTGCATAGTGCTGCAAAAGGTGCTCAAAGGCACTTAACATGGAAAAACAAGAGATGACGCAACAGAAAGGAAACCGCCCACTTCCTTGGTTAAAAGAAGAATGCCGAAACTGTCGAGAACAGACTTCTCCCTCCCTACCGTGTTGTCGCTGCTCTCACCACGCGATGTCGGTCTGTTCTCCTCCTGCAGATGTTCAACTGCATCACGGAGCTGGTCCTGAGAGCCAAGAAGGAGGTGCTCGCCAAGCAGCAGCAGCAGCAACAGAACGACGTGGTCAAACTCACCCGGAACAGTAAACGAAAGAAGAAGTGCTGCTAGCGAGCTCCGAGCCATCCTCCCAAGGGTCGCCGGCGTTTTCTTCACATGCGCATACACACAAGATGGGACTCAGAGCATCTAAATTAAAGAGCGAATAAAGATTTAATAAATATACGGTGAAAGATTTAAAAAAAAAAAAAGAAAAAAAAAAGGAATTTAAAATGGAAAAAAAATGTCCCCGTTTGGACAAACTAATCATGACGGCTTCAAAGAAAAATGTACAGATTTTATTAGATGGTCAAATCAAGTTTTATTGGATTTCAGCAGATGGGCACTATTGACCCGAGCTCCTCCTCCTCTCTTAAGGGATCTGCAAGCCACGGACTGACCGCCGTAATGCTCCGGTTTAATATCCACATAACCCCCCCACCCCCCCACTCAGTCTCTCTTCGCTCCTTCTCATTCCACTGCACACGGGACATTCAGAGTCAGACTCTGCGCCTGAGGAGAAGGACGGTTCCCCCGTGTCTGGATTTTTGTTTCTTTCTAGGTTTATTTCTTGGGGGGGGGGGGGTGGTTGGTGTTTTTCTCGGAGCGGGAGTCTTGAGTCCGAGTGAAGGTCGCACCATCTCTCTACATTCACCACGCCAGGAGATCATGAACTGCTCGGTTTAGTTTCATTTGACTTGATGATGATTGGTAGAACCGTTAGCAACTAATCCAATGGACGCAACTGGTAAACCGTTTCACTTTTTGTTTTTTCTTTGTCTACATTTGCCAATCTTCCCCTCCTCCATCCGCGTCTAACCTCGAATAGTGCTGAGCCAACAGGAATCGATTTTATTTTTTTGTCTTTTTGAAGTGCGACAGAGCAGTCGACCCGCTGCCGGAGCTCCGAAGGCCCCGTTCGCTGCAGGCTTACTACTCTAAGAGTTTTAAATCCTTTTCCTTCATCCCCGTAGAAAAAAGTAAGAAGAAAAACACTGATACTGCCAATAATATATGTAAAAAAAAAAGAGCTCAGTGATGAAACATCATTTGGATCGTTGCATAGGCCCCCTTTTTGCCTGAGGCGGGTAATCGGGGTTGATTCGACCCCCTTAGCGCTCAGAAGGGTCTAGGGGGGGCCCCCCCCCCCCTTCCTCCTCCCCCCGAAACCCACACAATATCAGCACTCCTCCACGGGACTGTCCCGCCCGCTGCGTTCGGTTTATCGAAGGGGCAAATGGCTCTTGCTCCGGAAACCGTGTTTCCTCGCCGTCGTCACGCCAACCGCCCGCCCAGAGCAGCCTGTGGTGTTTGAGCATGTAACACTTTGAAGGGGTCTGTAAAAAGGTTACGTCCGACATGCATTTTACACTGTCGAGGATTTACTGTCTTCTTCTCGACTTGCAGAACATTCTTAACAGTTGATCGACGTTACCGTCTGATGTCATGTTTTGTTTCTTTGTCTCTTTTGCTTTTAAACCCCCTCCCACCCCACTGCCGCCTGTTCGATCGATGTGTTACCTGACAGTGTTGTAGGCCTCCGCGGTGAGAGCACCGCAGTCGGTGGGACCGTTGATGTGAGAACGGACTGCGGCGCCGGAGCTCGCTCGCCGTGCGTCGCCAGGGTCTGTCGGAGGCCGAAAACGGCGGTTACTGACTTTTTTTTTTTTTTTTTTTTTCCCCTTCTTGAATTGGGAGAGTTGACGGACAGCCGAGCTCCTGTTCGGATGCTCTTAGTTTCCGTCCTCTGGGCAGACCCTGGCAGCCGGTGTGGGATCCTGTCACTGTGACCTCCAGGGCTTAGGAATGGTATCAAATCACACATTTCTATTCATTACGTGTATGTACATATAAATATATTTGTGTGTTTATATTCGATATAGAACATACACACATAATTAGCGCACCAAACTGCATGTGTCCAACATGCCCCGTGTGCTATGGTTGAAAAACACACACTCGTCCGCTGTGGTTTTGCTGTACACTGGAGAAAAAGAGACGTACGATTCATTTTTCCCTTCATGAATTTAATCAGTAATAAACGTTTTAAAGGAATAAATATTTGACACATAATGACTGATCTCATGTGTCACTGATTTTGAGGCTTGGTCTTAACATCATTTTAAACCTGTGTCTTTATTTTTATTTTTTTTGCTTTCTGTGAATAAAATTGTACGGGAGAAAGTGACGAGTTGTCTTTGAATACTTCTTGCTTCTTTTTGTCTTTAATGTCGAGAGTCAATGTTTTATGAGAGGAGTTCCCCTTCTGCTTACGTGAGTATTGGACACATTGACATTGTGACCTGGTGGCGCCGGATGACGCTCAGAAAATAACACGTCATTACAATGAATCCTGATCCCTAATGAGAATACAATCGATCTCTTTTCTTTGTGTTGATCCCTTCGATAGACTGCTTTGTTCATATTATCGTTTCAAGCTTCTTACCGCTGCTCAGTCAGAGTTTTTGTCATCTTTTCGGTAGTAACATATTCATATATTATTACATATATTCCCTTTAAACAAGTTACATTACATTTTGTTGGGGCCCTTCCGCCCAACTATGACGACCACAGAAGGAAAACGTCTGTATTTCAAGGCCAAATGAGCAGAGACCAGCAGATTGCAAAGTATTTATTTGTACAAAAGAAACGCTAAGAAAGTTGCATGACAAATATTTTGAATAGCATTCAGTGGTGAATGGAGGCGCTCACACGGAGCACAATGAGCCCACCGAACGCACTCAATTCCAAAGAATCGTGATGTTTACGCGCAGCTGCAGACGGCCGTTACTAAAAGCTTCCCATTGAGAAGTGAACGGGTCACATCGGGCAGTCTGCACTGTCTTTAAACCATACAAACAACCAAGAGAGAAACAAACAGTAATCATGACACCACGTGGACGGAACCAAATATGTTACAAACTCATCGAGACGAATCAACAGTCCGGTGGCGGCAGGAGACACTGGGGCCTAATTCCAGGTGTTTCCCACAGCACGAACCCCTGGATGTGAAGGTCGTTACCCCGTAGCACTGATGGCACCTTCTACAAAAGGACCCTTCATGCAGAGTTCAAACAATAACTCGATCGCTCGTAAAGTTAGTTCTAAAATGGCTAAATGTGCTCTCTTACTCTTGGTGAATTCGAATAATTGGGCTGAAACAGAAAACTCAGAGATGGTTTCAGACTCTGGATGGTCTCAGTACTGTTTGGATGGTATTGGTTATTTTGATGGTAATTATCTTTTGTGTTGTTTTAAGGTGCCATTTAAACTGATTTTAGGAAAGAAATTCAATTGTTCTAACTAACGGAGAGAAAGCGATCAGATGTATATATGATATTTAGATCAGGCTTAGAAAATGAATCATTTTGTTCTTCACTCACCTGAATTTAGGCTTTCCAGCTGTGCTCCATGCCACACCCGGACAGCCAAACATACGTACAAGTGATAATCAGTGGACACACGTGGAAATGTCAGCCTAGAAATAACATACAACAGATTTTCATTCAAAAAGTTATGCTTTTCTTCTTATAAATATAACGATTTTATCCAAACCTACTCAACTTTTTATAAAAAAAATCATTCTTTGGGTTGAACCTTCCCAACAACCGGCTGAGATGATAAGAATACATCTGCATAGGTTTGCACAGCTGCATTAGACACAAGTAAGAAGACAGGCGGACAGACACAAGAGAGACACACAGGTCGACGCATTCTGCATCGCCGGCGGAGTCACAGAGATGTCGCCTGCAACGGAAGCCCGACAGATCGGAAATCAAAGTGCCCATGAAGTATCGAAGCAACGAGAAGGGAGGTAGACCATTTCTATCCGCGTTAGACCGGAGCGGTTCAGACCCGCAGAGGAAGTCTGGTGGAGTTTCTGCACAACAACATTCCTTCGTGTGATCACAAATTCAACGGGTCCTTTGTTGAGCTGGATTGAGTTGATCCAACGTGGTTCCTCCTCCTTCTCCAGCTGATGTAAACAGTTTATTTTTTATTTGGTCAACTAGGGAGATGATTGACATCATGAGGACAGGGCCTTTTTTTTTTCCTTTGAAAAATTAAAAATATTTTAAATGATTAAATACAAGCAAACCGTGGACCCCTGAAAGCGATATCACAAACTTCAGTCCCCCCAAAAGGTTTATTCAGATGTTGAGGATGAGCATGTTGGCCGCATAGAGCTCACCTGGCACCCACAGGCCCAATTAGACGCTCCACCGCCTTCGCCGGCGGGATGCTAACTTTGGATGCTAATGAATGAAAAAACAAAAACAACCTGACAGCGAAGAGAGAATAAAATACTGGTGGAGCTGATTGTGATCATTTTGTTTGACTATGAGAGGAATCCTTTCACGTTACACGTTGTCTACATACAAAAATATTGTTTAGTGCAGCTTTAAATTCCATAGACTTTAACTCATTTGAGTGCCACATCTAAAGGTTTCATTTAGCCAAACCCTCGCTCACGCTCCCACTGAGAAAACAAGCGTCCTCAGCCTCTGAACAAGTGAATAAACCTGAGAGACGCTCCGACGTGGAGCCCCGCCCCCCCACGCGGCCCTCTTCTCTCCACCACCACCCTGCAGTGTCCCTTACATCCACCTGTCTTTCCCCTGACCCCCCCGCCCCCCCGGCCTGATAACTGGGACGCAGAAACCGCTGGTTCATAATGTTGGCAGTGGGCTAGTAGAGATGGGCGTAGGCACTAAAACGGAAACCTTCCTCTTTGGAGGTAAACTTTGTGGCCCCGTTTGCGTTCTGCCTATGAGAACGAAAAACAAACTCCCGTTCTTATATTCCTTCCTCTCATAGCCAGCGGGGACCATTTCATCAGCGAAAAGGGAAGAGTAATGGTCACGGATAAAGTGCAAAATGACCCCGTCCCCCCACAAACTTGAGTGTGAGCCACGGCCCGTCTTTGGCCGCGTGGTTTAACCTTTGCTCCTCCTCTCCCGCCTCGTCTGTCTCTGTCTTCGAGCTGTGCTCGGGACCGGTTCAATGGGGCTCAGTTCTTTTTGAAAAAAGAGAAAAGTCTCTTGTCCCGGTCGGAGAGGCGGTGAGCTCGCCTGGAGGACTGACCGCCGTGTGCCCTCGACGGGCCGGACAGGGAGGTGGGGGTCGAGCGCCACTCGTCCTGGTACTTGTCCATCAACTGCTGGTCGATCACTCGGTGCATGTCGTCCTAAAGCCACGGACAGAGAGGCGGGTGAGAGAAAGGCAGGAGAGCGACGTCACGCACAGAGGCTCAACGGTGCTGCAGGAAGTTCTGAGGAGATCGGACTCATTGGTCAAATGACCCGATGGGCATCGATTTGCAGAGACACCACGACCACGTTTCATTCATTGCTTGTTTACTTATTACTAACTAGCCTTGACATTTTATTTAGGAGCATGTGGGGAAAAAACGCATGAGTAAAACAATGAACAACGGTTTCGATTTTCAGATGATAGAATTATGATGTCACTTTATAACCGCCGACCAAACACAAACTAACTGTGACACATTCAGCTCCCTTTGAGTGCCGGTTGAAAGCTTTGTGCAGTTGGGTAATAACTTGTAGAAATTATAACCACGACTTTTCAGCTTGGGACCCCTTGAAGTCTACCTGTGCAGAAGAGGTAGCAGAAAAGTAATTTGTCCTCCCAGATGACTTGATTTTAATCTTTCAGACTAGATTAAGCAGGTGAAAAATAACTCCCTAATTAAAAAGTCTTACATTCTTTGTATTACTTTTGTCTCCTATCCTGTTAATGGTCTCACTTTTCTAAATTGCTCCAAATACTTTATGTATTTAATGGAAGGAGTTGCAATGCTAGTTGATTCGGCCACCAGGGGGCTCTGAAGAGCCAATGAATCAAGTTCATATGAATGCAACGCAGTACGTTTGGAGTCTTTGTGACCATCTCTCGACAGGTGATCTGACCAGAGGACCAATCTCCTGACAACCTGCAGGGGGGTACCGGCGTGGTGGGTTTGGATGTTTTCTCTGGGGGGGGGGGGTTAATGGTTTCAGGTAGACATGGAGCTGGCATGGGCGTTTCTCCCGAGACAGTTAACCACGGCATGGAATGGCTCAGCGCGGCGGGGGGTGAAACGGCGAGATGGCGCGTCACCGGGCTCACCTCTAAGGCAGGAGAGGAGAGGGGGGGTACCACAGAGGAAGAAAGGGTGGTACGGAAGCTGAGAAAGGCCACTAGATCAGAAACCACAAGAGCCAAACAGTAAAGAGCCCTGAGGAGGCAAACTGTGGGCAGGGAGAAGAGAGAGGAAAGAGCTGCTAGTTACAGATGAGGGAGGGGGGGGGGACACACACACACACACACACACACACACATTCTGAGATGTGCACACACTCTCTCCCGTGTCCTCGGGCTACACATGTAATACGTTTCCTTGTGGGACACTCATCAAGGACAAGCCAACGACATGCACCCTCTGAAGTTAATCGAGCGGTTTAGTGTATTAAAATGGACGGATTATCTCAAAAATGCATCCAGAGACCACCTTTGGGTTTATGTAACAACCTTAAAATAGCTGGAGCACCATTAGGCCTTTACTAATACACCGCTTGTGACGTTTGACCCACCTGCCACGCCTCCAGCTGCTGCGACAGGTTGAGCTTCTGCTGGATGGCGTCCAGGAGCTGGCTATTCAGAGACATGATGTCTATCTTACACTTGGCCAGCTCCATCTCCACCGCTTTCTTCCTGCAGGACACACAGACGGAGCAACCGGTCACGAGCTGCGAGCGCGACGCTAACGTGGTGGTGAATGTAGAGCTATCGCCTTAAACCTTCGGTAAACTCACTTATTCAATGTGTTGCCAGGAGCAGGCAGAATAAAGCCCGCCCCCTTTCAATAGTGTCAGATTACGCCCGCTAGCACCTCTGAGGCCCACTTATTAACACATTATGTCAACAGTTAAAACAACAGCTTTATTTTCTGCTCGGCTAGACGTGTTTCCACTGTATCTCCTCAAAGCACATGTTCATATGCTGCTTTATTGATGCTGCCAGTCTTCAAGCTAAGCTAAGGTATTGGACTGTTGGTTGTAGCTTAATATACAATATGTGAAAAATAAGCAATTCACAATTTGTGAAAAAGAAGTTTGCCTCTGCCAGAAAACTTAACAACAACAGCAACAAATGCTTAAGGGAAGTATCTACTTCCTAAGATCCTAAGGAATTCTAAATACAATATTTAAATGACTAATTGCAACAGGAGCTGAACTATAAATGGAAGATGCAAGTTGTCATAATCCTTTAAGCTTGACATTATATTCACCGAGGGACCTCGAGATGTGAACCTACTTGGCTATGGCATCGTCTCTGTCTCTGATAGCAGTCTGCAGCTGCTCGCTTGGTTCTCGGACCTCCGCCATGGTCCTCATCCTCTCGTTGTCCTCCCGCAGAGAACACATCTCCACAGAGAGCAGCGCCATCTGCAGGTCACACGGGGACCATGACACGCATTCAAACGTCTTTATGGGTCACCCGGTTACGTATGTGTTCATTACGCTGCGTGTAGACGTGTACGAGACCTGATTGTGCAGCTGTAGCGCATCCTCCACATTGCTGCGCGTTTTGTCCTGCTCAGTTTCGTACAGCTCTCTGACTTCCCTCAGCTCCTCTCCTAGCTTCCTCAGCTGCTCCTCCAGAGCCTCCTCATCACTGCGCCGCGAGCCCTGTGAACACGCAACACTTTGCAACTTAAAGGCTTCTCCTGCACAGATTTATGGACATTCATTTTTACACAACGCACGGCCACTTCACGTCCAATGTGCTGTTACTGCAACAGGCCCATCGAGGCTCCATCCTGCACTATTATCAATGTGGACTGTCTTAAAGCATCTAGCTTACAATTTTTACAGGTTCATGAGGTTCCTAAAATAACTTTTAAGAAAGGAATTGACCTGCATTTAAGTTAAATAGTAAAATGTATTTTTTTATTTGCATGAAAATGAACAGGAGAGAAATATTCCTCTATTTTCATTTTGTGTATCTGTGACCGTACTCTGAATACACACAGCAATTATAACTATATCTTCCCTAGTATCATTGCCTCTATTTTCGCTATAACAATACTAATCTGCATAGTTATTAGAGCCCCGCAATGAGGCATTACCTCCCTTTTTAAAACATAGGCCGTTCAGTCAGTGCTGACAATACGTGTTTTATTGTCGTGTCAACTCGCGCAATAAACAAAAAGACTGTGGTATCGCACTTTGAATATATTAACAACAAATTCAATTACAGCGGCGCAATTTTATCCGATATCCACAATTCTGTTAACTCTCTGGCCAATCAGAATGAGAGATCACCGGCATCGTCTGATTGGACATAATCTGCACACGTGCCTCTAAAGGTTTATTTATTTGTTTTGCAGGGACACTGCCTACTAATCAACAGTTGTTTTTAAAGCAGCCTAAAATACAAAATAAAGGAAATGGCTGAAACTGAAAGCGTGAATGCCAGAGTGGAGCTAGTGAAAAAAAAAAAAAAGGAACGGATGTCAGCCGTCTATCAATATCTGGATTCCACTACCTGGTGGAAAATCACAGGCCCTGTCTTAAGAGAAGAACGAGCCCTACTGGTTCCCAGTGAGTTGCGCCTCACCGTGGACTCGTTGCCGTCCAGCAGGTTCTGCGTGAGCCTCCGTAGCTCCAGCAGGCCGGTGTGGAGGCTCCCAGTAGGCACATCCTTGGCTGAGGACGTCTCCGACGACTCGTCCATGGAAGAATCGGTGGACAGCGCCGAATCTGTGACGTCGTTCCCCCGGAGGTGGGAGCAGAGCGAGCGGACTTCACAGTAGGCCTCCCACAACTGAAGACGCAGCTAAAACAAACAAGACCGGAAGGTGTTTAGAAGCGTGTCCAGAAAAGCACAGCAGAGTCTTCGGCAGCGACTTCCCAGTGTGATCACCTGCTCTCGCTCCTGCTCCTGCTCCTCCTGCTCCATGCTCTGTTCTATCTCGCACAGCAGGCTGGACGGGTGCGGGGTGAGACTGTGGAGGCTTTGCTCCTCTGTCAACTCCTCCAGCCGAGCGGTCAGCTGCCTGTGGGACACCTGCACCTCCTGGAGCTCCAGCTGGCTCTGCCGCAACTGGACTCACCAGAGGAGGGAGGTTACACAAATGGAAGCACCTGATTGGCCAGTCGACTCCACCGAGATTTGATCGCTAACACAGATGTGTTCACGCGTCCGTACCTGCAGGTCCTTCCGGTGAGACTGTCTCTCCAACACCAGCGTCCTCTCTCGGAGGTCGTCGACGGTGCTCTGCAGCAGCTCGTTCTCCTCCAGCATGGCGTGCACCCGGTGCTCCAGCTCCATCTTCCTCTCCGACAGCATCTTGATCTAACGCGTCAGACAGCACCAGTCAATTCACTGCGCCACGGGACGCGGGCATTGGCACGTGGCTAACGGGAGGATTGCTTTTCGATTTTCGGGGGTCGATAGCGAACAGATGGGCAGCTATGGATCTGATTAAAGGCTAGATGTTGTTATTTTCCTGACTCGGAGGCAAGGTTCTTACACGAGATTAAAAAGTCCTCCCACTGGTCTAAGGAATGTTTGTTGCTTAGCCCGGGCTGAGGCGTTACCAGCCTGAACTTCAGGAATGCCTTGTTGACATGGTAGCGTCTCCCCAAAGCTCCACCATGCACGTCTAACGGCCTTCTGGATTCCTAACAAATTGTTTTCCCTCAGAGCTGCCTGAGTGGCTTCCCCCCCTTAAACAAACAGCAGCTCTTGTTCATGTTCATCCCTCCTGCTCTTGACCTACATCTGGTAACCTACTTCACAGGGTAGGAGCTTACATTTGGATTATCTGCTTTCCGTGATCGTATGAGCATCCACATTGCCAGATTCTGGTTATTTATGGTCTCTTGCTTTACACAAATAGGGCAAAACTCCATTGGTCATCAGCACACAGTCGCATTAAGGCAAAGCACTGGAGAAGTGGAAGCACCCAGACACATTGCAGTGTCTCAGCTAAATATAGAGCAGTAGCCTTTTCCCCCAATTACAGCGCAGGATCCGCAGTCTGGGTGTTTTCTCTGTGGCTTTGAGGAGGAGAGCTGAGGGAAAATGTGATTTGTTGTTACGCTCTAACAGTACTGTTACTTGTCAGGACGATATGTCACATGACAAAGCCGACATCACAACACATCATGCTCCGATAACCCAGGATGTTGTTCATGCTCAATGTCACCGATCGGGGATTGCCAAAGAGTGGAAAAATGATTTACTCTGCGTGACTACAGAGCTGCGTTTCTTAATATTTAGTCCAATCCTTGTTTTTTTTTATTTCTTTACAAGACGTTACATGCAGCATGCGATCCGACCGACAGAAAGCGTAAACCACTCACTTCTAGCTCTTGCTGCTCCAAACAAGAGGGAAGGAGGAATGGGTGAGGAGAGAGATAATGATGACAGGAAAAGGAGAAAAGTAGTTTGTGAGTAAACCCACAATTCCCCCGACAGAGTAAACCCTTTGTGTTGGATGAGTACCATCTTCTTCAGAACACAGGATCAATGTCCATCTTGCAGATTTGAGCTAACATTAGTCACCATTAGTCAAACCAAACCAAGTGAGGGAATTTAATTGAACGGAGTATTTTCTTGCAACAGAAAACTGTGTTAATACTTCATACGCTTTAACTTGGGATCTGCTGTCACCTGAAGCACTCGGGCTTCTTGCAGAGAATCAATAACTGCAAACATTATTTCTGGATTCTGCAATTGTCCACAGTTTAAAAAAAATTTTTTTTTGGGAGGTTCACGCTGAACAAGTACAATTGAATCATTTGTACTGTACGAAGGACCAATGGGGCTGACGGCGGCTCACCTCGGCCTGTAGAGTCTCTAGTCGAGACATGTGCTGGCTTGTGGACATGCTCTTCTCCCTGAAGTCGTCCCGTAGTGAATGGACCTGAGTGGACAGCTGCCTCTCCACCTCTGCAGCCTGGATGGAGGTAACCAGACAGTAAGAAAAACAGTAAATATTTGCTTTACATCACTTTGTTATATTATAGTGTCATATTAACTGTCAATAAAAAAAAAGAAAGATTGCATAGCTGCTGCGTTCCCGTACTTTGATAGCAGGGTGACTCCTTGGAGTCTGATAGCAAATGTAGGACCTTATACACACACACACACACACACACACACACACACACACACACACACACACACACACACACATACACACACACACACACCTACACATGGCCACCAGGCACAAAGGGTAACTCAGTTATCCGTGAATCAGCCCTCCTCTCTTCCATTAAATGGAGCATGTGATTGCTGCTCCTCTGAAAGGCCATTTTTTCATCTCGCTTAAAAACGTCGGCCGCTCAGTTTTCCTGTGGTCTCGTCCAGCAGCCGACGCAGTGCCTCGTCCGAGCTTATTGGACAGGTGGGATGAGGCCACACAGAGCGTGGCTTCATTGACACAGAGCTGCATTCAGGAAGCGTCAGTTCTCGTGTCATCACTGCCATGGCAACAGCGAAAACCTTTAAAAGCACTCTCTCTCTTTTCAACGCATTGTGAATCTGTCAAAGAACAGAGTAAAACATGAGATGACTGACGTTGGTCTGAAGTACAGCCTCTAGGTGTCACTACACACTTCTGCCTCTCCTGGAGAAGCTCACAGCCGAGCAGCTGGTCCTGGTGGTTTGTAGGCTCCCGTCTGAGACCCCCGAAGTAAACGCAGGTAAAGCCGTAATACATTAAAAAATAATAATAATAACATTAATAAATAGGTTTTGGATCATTTTGTTCACTTTGTAAAAGTAAATTGCATCCCTGTGTATCTATTAGACCTGGATTAAATAATGGCTTGTTGTATAATTGTACGTTGAAAATAAGTTTAGTGTTTGATTTATCAGTAAAATTCAGAAATCTCCATTCACAAGTTGATAATGGTTAATGTTGAGTGGATGGATACTTTTGTTTTTTGGAGTCAAGCTGTAAATCATCTTTTCCACATTGACTCATTGTAATTCTGCCTGTTGCCACAATCTTTTCACTTGTGTTTGGGTTTTAACGCTGGGTTACAAAAAAAAAAACTACGGTTGAACTGATCCTCGAGGAGAAAAGCATGATATTTTTCAGGAAACTATATGATGAAAAAATCAGATATTCCGATATGTAGAATCCAAGATTCTTTTAAAATACCAATGGGATTTGATAGGACCTGTAACACTATTTGATTTGCCCAACGCTATGAAATGTCACACAAGGGCACTGCTAACCTGAGGGGTTTATTAAATGTGGGGCATTGGTTCATGCCTCTCCGTCCTCTGGGTGGAAACGTTTGGTTGAATCATATGCAAATGTTTTTGTTATCAAAGGGCTGATTTGTTTGTCATTAGTATTGTTTTGGCTTAATGGAAGATATGATATTTGATGGTGTTGAGACGGCATGTTTCATCTCATTAAGGAGCTGAGAAAAAAAAAATGGGCAGACGTTGTAGTGGAAGAGCTCAAATAACATATTATGTTATTCTCCCACATGTGTTTCTCTACGTGGGAGCTGCGTGTTTTTACAGCCGCCACGTGACGTCTGACCGACTTGACCCGACATGCTGAGAGATTGCGGATCAAATGCTGTGGTTTTTCCCCGTTTCATCTCCCGCTGCCCGGTTCGCAGACGCACTTTTAATGCACACAAATTCCTCAGATCCCAGATCAGGCATTACAGAAAAAAAAAATCTGACAGCTGTGACAGAATCCTGGGCAGCAATGCAGGGTCAGCAACGTCAGCAAGGAGACGTGATTTCTTACTGCAACTCAAACTACTAAACACGGTACGTCGGTTTTCCACGGGAGGGACTTGAAACGTGGGCCATCATCCAGCTGACGTGACCACAGCTGCGTCACAGATCTTCGGGGGCGCAGCTCCCCATCAAACAGCATGTAGCCTCGTGCCACTGTGTTGAGCGCATCCCCATGGCAACGCCACGCAAGAGTTTCAATCTGCATGTCACTCCGGTTGTCACGGTAACCGGGGTGAAGTAGGATTGGATGTAGCTGCGACAAGTGGTCTCAAAGCTTCTGGTATTTTCCTGTTTTCCTTAAATCACCCCCCCCCCCCCCCCCCCTTCCCCGAACGGTGCGTCGTCTAGACCTTTGAGCGGTTGCCTTAGACCCCCAGGGAGGGACCGCCCATCCAATAGATGATCCTCACGGCAAACCGCCACCCTGGGGACACCGGAGCCAGGCGTCACGTGGTCCGCTTACTAAAACTGAATAAACACTGATTTGTTGGACAGATGCCCCGGGAGTGTTTCCACCGCTGGGGCGAGAGGTTGTGATGTGATGTGGATGCACCACAGCGACGAGGCCGGACACCAGCTGGCCCACTTTGTGCTCTCCTCGTAATAAGACACCCGGCCTCCTGAATTATTGTCAATCACGAGTCAAGAAAATGTAGTTATCAACAGCTTTGAGTCACCGGAGGCTGGAGGTCTTTGAGTAAATAGTGGTCGAGGGGAATTAGAATGGACCACGGCCATAAAACATGCACATTCTGAGCATGTGTGGTAATGTAATTAGAGAAAGGACCCCTTCCGGATGGTTCACTCTGATCAGATTAGGTTTAAAGGAGATTGACTGTTCTCACACGCCTCTACTCCTGGATCTATTTTCTCGCTGCGTGTATTGGAAATAATGTACATTTTAATCACAGAGTGTTGGGACTCACACAGCCCAACAAAAGGCAATAACCACAGGGGGTGTTTGCGTCATGTCAGGATATGATGTGACGATTCAAAGCTGACATTCTTGTTCTAATATCTGAGTTACCTGCTGTTATCAATTAAGCAGAGTGGGGATGGGAGTTGTTTTGGTTCCTGCCTGAATGCATATGGCAAGGCTATTAGCACGGATTATGGCCTAATCCCCCTCAGCGCTGTATTTCACCCCGTAACTGACATCACTTCCTACGGAGTGCCCTGCCTCCTCAAGGTCGTCCCACTGCAGCCAATAACTGACTAGTAAATTGCTTGTGAGGTGATGCAATGTTTTTATTAATCACACCTTTGGCTGCAAGATTTACTTCCAAAATCCCTGGTAGTTACTCATGGAGGACAAAAAGTTATATACTATAGTTAATACTTTCTTACATAAATGCTGACCTAAATATGCAAATAAATGGTTGACTTAAAAAAAAGGTGAATTAAATTCAAAAGAATGTAAGAATGAACCCAGTGGCAGTTGTTCCGTTAGGAGCCAGTTCAGCAAATCTATTGTCCAATCATCACTCTCTAAAGTGTGATTTTTAACACAGATGCCAAAGGACAAAAATAACAAGCTCATAGTCCCTTTGGCAGTGCACGGGAACACGCGTTACCTCATGGATAAGACTGCCGTGGCAAAGAGTCAAGTATTACGGGAAACGGGAGGGCAGATAAGAATAGCAGGCCTCCAGAGGGTCCTGGGAGTACTTTTATATTTCCTCTCCAGAGGGTCCTGGGAGTACTTCCTCCATTCATTCAGAGCTGTAAACAGTTAACAATACTTATTCACAGCCCAGCACTTAACAATGAGCACTTAGTGTATAATGGAAAAGAGAAGAGAGGAAAAGGAAGCAAGATGGAGAGCACGAAGGATAAAAGGAACGAGAACGCGAGCCCTGTAGTTGACCTCGTTTAATCTATTACCCAGCAGGTCACCCTGCATCTGCCCAGCTCGCTGAATCATGGATCCGGACCGATGCAGTCAATTAAGTCTTGGAAAGACAGCCCCCTCCCTCTCCAACTCCTGTACATAATACACCACTTTCAGGGAACGTCTCTTTATATCCCCACACCCAAGTTTCAATTCAATTAACGGCGGTTTAATCATGCCGAGTGCCGGCTCCTGCTCAGACCGACCGGTCCAGAGCGCTCGTTGTTTGCAGCGTGATGCTTTTAATCCGGCTCGAGACGAGCCGCTCTGCACGGGGGTTAAAATCAATAAGCACCGGGTCTCCTGAGCAGCAGCGTGTGCCCGGCAGCACATCCCACCGTCTCTCAGGGGGAGAGCGGTCGCCTGAGCACGCTTGTCAACCTTTGTATGCAGCGCCCTGGGGACTCCCGAGATGCGGCCCCGGTACACTCTGCCAGCCATCTGCAGCAGCCGACAACACTCGTGTCTCTGTTTACATCCCTTGCATCTCATAAGGGCCCAGCGTTTGAACTGTACAGTACATCCCGATGACAGGCGAGGCAGCGTGATGTGGTCCTGCTCGTGGGAAGCCAGCTCATCCCTGTGACATACCGGTTATTATGTCGCTTTGAGACAACATAGTTTAATTTGATGACAAAACAAAGCATGTTTTGTTTCCCCAGAGTGTGTAAATGAAACCATGATAAAAAGGGACAGAACGTGGACAATTTAACAAGAACACCAAGGGTGTGATCCAAACACATGCATGCAGCACTACTGTATGTACCTGTCCATCGATCCATCTGAATATCAGCATCTCATGAGCCCTTTTGTACTCTGCCTGTCCCGACTGCAGAACCTATTGCATAAGTGTTCAGTCCAATCATTCTAAATTATTCAATGTAAGACCCAGAAGCTCTGCTTTTACATTGATGAGTTAGCACAATTCAGGTGAAGTGCAGGGGGGGGGGTGGTGGGGGCTGAACGGAGGCATCATCGCCCCTGAGGGAGGAGGAAACTTCACTTGGCTGCTGAGCATCTTATGTCCGGTCAGTCGGGCAGGAAGTGAAGTTACCCGGGGACACGAGTGGCAGAAAACTACAAAATAAGACAGGAAGTGAACCACACCGTGACAGCAACATTACGGCCAGTGACTCATGGCCCAAAACCTTGCACACGCACACGCGTGGACCGTGTTTCTCACCCTGCTGAGTTGCTCCAGCAATCGGTGGTTCTGTTCGGAGAGCTCGCTGATTGCCTTGGTCTTGTCTCTGTCGGTCTCCCTCAGCTGGACCTGGTGGAGCTCCAGCTCACCCTGCAGCTGCTGGACGTCCGTCTCCAGGTCCGACACGCGGCCTTCCCACTCCCCCTCTCGACTCTCCAGCCGCCGCCGCAACTCATGCTTCTCCTGCTCCAAGTGCTGTGTGTGGACGGAGGGGAGAGAAGGTCATGTGGTTAAATCGTAATTTTCTTGGATGCAATCGAGGGATTGTGAAAAGTAAGAGCCGATGGTGTTGCAAAGGACAAGTTTGAGTCAATCCTTGTCAAACACTTCATGGTACTGAAAGTAAAAAAAGTTTAAGATAACAACTCCGTTGCTACACATTATTGTACGACAATAAAGGCACAATCATGAATTTTCACGGGCTGAAATTCTTAACTTTCCTTCTATGTGAAAGTGGGATTCCACTGTGATGTCACTTTGCCACGACCACACATTAACAATAAAACATGTAATGAATGGTGAAAGCTGGACCATTGCGGTATACAACAGAACCCTTTTGATGAAGGAGGCAAAAGAGCCACAGTAACTGATTGATTAAAACAAAAAAGGTTGGATCAAAGAGAATTTAAACAGCATCAAGGGCCGTTCGAATAGTGTACCAGGTGCAACGTCCGTGAACAGAAGAGTTTGATATTAACAGGCAGCTTATTTCTCTGAGCCTCCACGTTGAGGATGAATATGGATCAAGGGTTGAACAGATGCACACTAGATACGAGGCCCTGGGATTAGCCTTTGGGGGAGGTTTTAGGGCCCCGTGTTGGCTTGTTTGTAGGTTTCTTAATTCTAAAACAACAAGAACAAAAGCTCAACTGAACATCATTTATAAGCATATGTGAAATGACACTGAAACACCTTTTTTTAAGCTTGACCGTCTTCTGACAGACACACGGCTTCAAGTCATCGTTTGTTACTGGGGTCCCTTTTGAAAAAAGAGTCATGTGAAGCCTGTATGTGGAATCTACAGGTAGCAGATGTGTTATGATCCCACTGAGTTTGTCTACATCGCAAAGGCCCATTGACGTGAGGATTACAACATTTAATAAAGGACAAACCACAAAGAGGAAGCATTCAAACTCATATTTTCCATTTTCCAAGTTTACCTCTAATTTCTCGTTGAGATCTTTGTGCATTTTCTCATATTGCTTGGTCAAGTCTTGGTTTCTCTCCAGCAACGCTTTGCCGAGTTTAGCAGCTAACACCAAGTCCTTCTCCTTCCGACGGAGGAGCGACAGCAAGTCCGCGCTGTGCCCCACCGGGGGCGTCTCCGGTCCCGACAGCTCCTCCTGGTCGTCCCGCTCCCCGGTGAGCATGGCCAGTTCCTCCTCCAAGGCCATGCCGAGGCCTCCGGAGCCGGCGTGCCGCAGCGGCTGACCCTGAAAGCCGCGGCCCGGCTCCGGAGCGCCGGCGGCGCCGGGCCGCGGCTCCATGCGGTCGCTGTCCAGCTCCAGTGGTGCTGAAACCACGGCGGAGGTCTGCAGATCGAGGCAGAAAGTGGACATCGCCACCGGGCGGAGGAGGAGACAGCAGAGCAACAAGAAGAGTGAAATCACACCGGATGAACCCACCCTGCCCTGACAGGGTCGGGCGGACCGGACCATCTCGTAATCGACGTCGCATCCATAATTTGCGCAAAATGTCGAGGCGGGATCCAAATAGATTTGTAAAGTGCCGTCTTCCCCGCGTCTCTCTCTCTCTCTCTCTCTCTCTCTCTCTCTCTCTCTCTCTCTCTCTCTCTCTCTCTCTCTCTCTCTCTCTCTCTCTCTGCTACTTGTGCTGCAAACAGAGACCGTGGCTCTGATTGAATCCCGGCGAACACCGCCTCCTCTGCGAGCTCCAAGCTGACTGGTCGTGCGTTAGCGGACACAAGATGTTTTTATCCCGGTATAAAGCGCCGCGATGAGCTGCGCGCATCGGTCGGTCGATCGGGGTCCTTCCCGCCTCGGGGTCCTGGATCCCCCATAATGATCGGCCTGTTACACCGGAGGCATTTGCCATCCAAACAGATGAGCGCGATCCCGGGAGCCTCCCCTGCCGCTTTCTCGTCGCGAATCCTCGCCCCCGACACGGTAGTGACGTCGGCCGCAACCTGACGCGAACGGCCCACCCATTGGCTGATTGCGATAGCGCCATATTTCGGTGCTTCTCGCGCACACGTGTGAGATCCATTAAATGAGCACGAGAAGTGGTAATAGAAGGACTGATGCCTGAAGTGATGATGCTCCAGCTGTACAATCTGTGATGTTTGAACGTCCTGGATTTACACGTTTCCGTAAACCGAAAACATACTAGATGTTAATACAATAACGTTGTATCAAATAATGACCGGTTGGCAAAAAGAAAACATGAAAAGTCGACAGTTGTTTCCACTCCAACGGTCATGTTGAGGTGAGCGTTTATAAATCAGGTGTTCACCATAAATTATTCATTTTCAATATGTAAACTAATGTTAAAATGAACGTGTACGCTAAATATTACAGCTGTTAAGGTGATTTGAGATTTTATGTTTTGCTCATTGGGGGAGGAAACCAAACTCCCCCTCTTCACCACGCAGGGCTAGTGGATCACTAGACAGGACACAGACAGGACGCATGCAGGTGAGGCGCCCCGCAGGGATGTGCGCCCTCCCCACTGCTCTTCTCCCGCCACACCAACGCATGCAGCTCAGGAAGTAGCGCGTGCGTATATGAGGGGATGCTGAAGGGGCTGAGATGAGGTCATCTGTCGGGGGTGGGGGCATTGGTGAGCAATGATTACGAACAAAAGCCTCTTGAGCTGATCAAGCGAAGGCACAAAAGAAGTGGGTCACAGATTGCTGGTCCACTGTCGCCCAGCTTTGGGGGGGGGGTCCGAGGGGGCCGTACACTAGATGAAGGGGTGATTTCCTCAAAGCACATCAAGACCTCTCTGCTTTGATAAACCGCTAAGCTGGATGAATTTAGCAGCCCCACATTATCCTTATTAGTTTAATGCTGCTGGTGTTGAGTTGATTGCAAATACATGAAAAACAAAAACAACTTTTGTGTTTTGAAACATTACATACGTTACTACAACATGTTGCTTTTACAGTTATAACATTTCTATACAAAAAAATCCAGAAGAAATAAACAGGAATATTTGACTTACTGCCAGTTTTTTTAGTAGATGAAATGCAGTTTTGTTATTGTCGAAAAGATGATTGTATAAAGCTTATCGTCATGAGTGTTAATAAATATACATGAGTCTAATACATTGCCTTCCCTCTTTGGATGAAGATAAACATAAAAAAACTCATCACCATTGATATTTACTGTAGACTATTGCTCCCTCTGTGGAAAAGAAAGTGTTATTACATTCACATTCCTCCAAATGTATGGGTAAACAATAAGTAGCCTACTTAACCCGCACAGCTTGGTTGTTGTCTTATTTTGACCAATGCTTCTCTATGATTATAGGAATTAGGATGGATATGTAAAAAAAGGTTTTCTCTTTGACTTCGCATAGCCGCAGTATTCATAACAAACCACAAACACATGTTTTCCCTCAGAGAGCATAAATAGCATTTAGTCTGTGATGGATCGTCAACAACAACAATGAGCTTTGTCTATAAATCCACGAGTGATCATCCATCCCTTTTCCAAATGAGTAGCAACAATAAGTTCCCTCCGTGCCGATCGCTCTTGTAAGACATTTAATTACATGAGTATCTAGATCAGCGCTTCCTGTTCTGTGCTTATGTAACAGCGACCCTTAGTCATACTGGCCTGACTGTCTCTTTTTCAACTAATGCAATGTTTGGCTGTGTGTTACATAACAAAACTAGCCTCTTCTAACCTCTAGATTGCAGTATTTCTCTCTGATAGCTCTATATTGTACCAACGTGACACATGAATGCAGCTATTTCAATGTTTTTCCAGTGGATGGCAGTGTTTTTGCACCGTTGCTTCACATGGAGCCCTTGGAAAGATTGTTCCAAAGCTGTTATGGAGATACTGCTCTGTCTGACCATTTAAGTTCCCGCCCTGATAACAGTTTCAGCCTTTGCTGACCTGTGAGAAAGGTACTTTATTTAAGAATTTAACGTTATTTTGCAGTAATGGAAAAAAGTCCTAAAATGAACAGCATTGTTTTTGCAAACAATTTACAGATTTGAATTGTGGACCAAATTCAAAGTGAGTGGGTAATACTTAGTAACACTGAATTTATTACAGTAAAATCCAAGTGAAAGATCTCAATTGCTGCCTTTGCAGAAATAAGCCGGGATTTGCTTCAAACACATACAATGTCTTGTTGCTAGGCAACATCAGCATGATGCCTCTGCCTCAACCCATTGCTCCAAATCCCTGTGGTCGCATTGCAAAAGCGAGCATAATCATACTAAACAGAAAGTATTTTACTTGTGTTAACATGATCGCTTAAACTTGTGACTTATATGTAGTATCTTCATTGTGGCCTACGAAGTGCATACATACATTTTACAATATTGTCTACCCGAGGAGCAGTAATCTATAATAGCAATTCTAGTTTTAGCATTGTTGTGCGTTTATAGTAAATGCATTTACTATAAATGCACAACCGGTTGTACGATTGCTGTGAAGGATTGTCAGCCTGAAAGAAGTCCCATACCAGGAACACGTGGCAACATGTTATGTAATGGAATCATTTCTTTCCCAAGGATATGTGAGGATCGGTAAGAAAACCTCTCACTGAGCTTCTTTCCCTGGACAGATATTATGTTGCATAGGTGTCACTTTCAACACATGGCTTCTGTAGTTAAGCCCTCATCCTGGGCCCGTGTGGGAAATCCATGTATTAAGAGCTCTTTTTCCAGATATAGATTTTTTTTCTCTTTTTTAATCGGTGTATCTGCATCCAAGTGAGCTAAAAATAAGTAGGATTAACGCATTAGAACCAGGAAGCAAATAAAAATAAATCTCTCAAAATAGGGAGTTGGAAGTGAGATATGATGTGCGATCAGATTCCCGGGCAGCAGAGATGCAAGATCACTCTCTTTCAGTTAAACACAACCCAGCCGAGGTCTTCCCTCACTTTCGACAGATCTACAGTCATAAAAGTCTAATTAACAACCGGTAAGCGGTATAAGTGAGCATTATTCTCACTGATTACTGTAACTCTCAGTGATTGCACAGCGCTGTGCTCTCACCTTCTGCGCTGATGTACGGCTGCATGCCAGGTTACTTTCTGCCATCTGTTGTGTTATCTGTCTCTGTGAGTGTGTGTGCAGTTTGCAAGTCAGTAACACTGTGACATGTCACTTGGCTGACATTAGCATTCAAACTAGAAAATTGAGGTGAGTCTGATCGAATGTGTCAGACAACTGGGGACCTTGTTAGGGTGTGACATGGGCCGTATTACTGTTTGGTACAGTAAAACTTCAATGTGTTTTGTGACACCCTGTGTATTCTGTACCAGTACTGTGTTACGTTGGTGTTCCAGTGCCTGTAGTTTATAAGCTATGCACTGTCTAGTTGTTGTTATTGTGAGGAAAACAAAAAAACAGAGAGGAAATAGAGAAATTAATGATTATTATAAAGCTCCTGTTCAGTCTTGCTGAGCTTCATCTAAAGCAGAAAGAACACTTTTCTAAAAATATAAGTGAAAAGTAGGACTCAAAGGTTCATATTTCCAGCCTATATTTCAGAAAATTGTTCTCATAATCGGCACCACAATTACGGAATTGTGCGCCTTTTGCTGGAATTGCAACAATTGACTTCTTGAGCACAGGTGAGTATACGTTGCTATTTATGAACTATTGCACAAAATACGTTTACACTGGCTTCTTTGATCAAGCAATTGTCTGCATCCGTCTTTAGTTGTTGTTGTTTACATGCAGATGAAAGCAGACTATTACTCCAACACATCTTTTCCCTGCCAGTTATTATTGCCTTTAATTCTGCTCATTAGAGGTAATTTAGCTGCACAACTTTGTTCGTCGTTGTTAGTAACTGACATGAACGTGCGGTACTTTGCTAAACTATTGGGAGCGGACTGTGAACGCGGTGGGTCAAGCGGCGTGCATTAGTGTGATTAGTGACGGCTGCTGCAGTACAGCGAGAGGAAGAAAGCGTTTGGGGGTGGTAAGGGTGAGAGAGAGAGAGAGAGAGAGAGAGGGAGAGAGAGAGAGAGAGAGAGAGAGAGAGAGGGAGAGAGAGAGAGGGAGCTTCCTCCTCCGTGATCACCGGTCTACTGCATTACTCTACAATGCTATTTCTCTTTGGTCCTCCACTCCCTTCCTCTCTCCTCCGCTCCATCCCTCTGCCAGCGGTAATCTCCGGTCTCGCCTGCGACTACCTCACAGCTTTCTGCCCGGCCACAGCGCGTCTCTCTCTCCCCTCGGCTCCCCTCTCTCCCGAGTGAGGATGACATCCCCGAATTTGATGAACCAGCAAAGCTCTCATTCCGGCTGGTGGCTTCCGAGGGAGACCCCACGTGAACGGGCTTACTGGACGAGGAGGCGCCGCGTCTGAAGAGCTTTGTAGAGAAGCTGTCAGCTGTAACAGCATCTGAGTGAGTGTTATTCTGCTTTACTTCTGGTCCTGCTGCTGCTATTGAGGATAAGGAAGTCCGGTGTCGCTCTGAACTGCTACGGGGCATTGGTTATTTCCTCCTGTGTCAGCGTCTCTGTTGACTGACTGACTGACTGACTGACTGATTGACTGACACCACAGCTGAGAACGCGTGGAGCGACGACACGGCATCGGGAGCAGTGAGCTTATGCAGCAGCTGCATCTGGTCTGTCAGGAATGAGCCTCGTTCCTGGTCACGACACCGAAAATGCTGTCGTGCTCTCTCTCTCTCTCTCTCTCTCTCTCATCGCCTCAAACAGATGACTATCACTCCCCGGCGTGGAGTTCAAACTCCTCACTATATATAAACCACGGACGAGGAAGTTTTGAGGCAAAGTTTCCTCCGTCTGTCATCCAGGGACTTTCCAAAGGTGCAGTAGAGGTTGAGGTTTGAAATCTGTGTCTGTATCTGTCAGTATGTGGGAAAAAGTATGACAAGATGAAGACTGTGGTTGGAGGAAAGTATCTCTATGGTAACAGCGGGTT